TATTTAATTTGCTCTTAATGTTATTCATCATAAAACATAATATTTGTATGCACAGCCGATCAACGGACGTGGTAAGGCGTGATAAGTTGCCAGTAACAAATCAAAATGATAAAGTATAGCAAATTCTATGGCAATTGAAGGATAATATAATTTCTAATTATTTATAGAAAAACGATTTATAATCACACTATAAAATTACTAGTGAACTTACTGTAACTAACACACTTATTTTAAAGCTGTTCGTAACTATTTCTACGTTGCGAAATATTGTAATAGAACGATTTAAAATAGAAAAAAAGATATGGACCATGAATTGAAGGATAAACATGATTTTTTGCCTTTCTTTGCAACGCTTGATTCGTTTACCGAAGAAGCGCTCAGACCGCCTACGACTTCTTCTGACCTCTCCTTATAATGTAACCATTAATTGTTATTGGAACTGTTGCCTCGAATTGTGTAACTAAGATCATTGACCCATCCGGAGGATGCCGTTATTAAGATATTCATTTTTTTATTAACAAAGATTTTTTAAACTGGTTTTGTAATTTACTTAACCACATAAAAAGTAGAACGCCATTTTGTTTTGCATAAGTATATATTTTGAGTCCACAAGTATGAGTTAAATGAACCCTGCGTTTGTGCTTTTGTCTATCATGTAATGGTATATTCGTGTAATAAATTTGCAATTAGTTTGAGTGAACCTCGGACATAGGTCTCTGTTGCTTTTTTGTTAATCCATTCTTTTTTCCTGAAAACTCATACTGGTTGCAATTTGCTTTTGACTGAAAATTACCATGACACCGTTATCTTGAATCTGGCGCATGTGTAGGTACATAATAATGCAACCAACTTATCAGTTATTGATCGCAGCACTTCCAACAGATAAGTTTTTCAGCTTGAAGCAATGGTACATTCAAAAAATTACTCTGCATTTGCTGGAGCTAAAGCGGCGCCAAGATCACGTGTTATTGTCAGGTATTTGTATTGCCCATTTAAAAAGATTTCAGTGAATCGCAATAAGATAATCATACATAATATATATATCGATGTCGCAACGCTTAAAGTTAGTTCGTCGGAATTTCGAACTTATTCTGAGTCTTGTGACTTGACGAAGCAACAAATTCAATCAGCTAATGATATTATTTTATTGACTCATCTAAAACAAATTGTAATAAGACAACATAGTATCCTCATTTTCATGAAAATGTTTTCGAGCAAATAAATTCTTTTGTTCGAATATCAATTGCTTCATGACGTTTCTTTTGTCTCAGTCCGAAACCGTGCAAAAATTATGTTTAGGAAAAGAGTTCATTACGTGGGTAAATTGCTAAACTAATATTACGAATATGATGACTTTTACATGACACCAATGACTGACGTGATGTCTTGCTAAAAATTTGTTATGTAAAAACTAGGAGGTCAGAAAAAGGACAGACCCAGTTTTCATTACATTACAACTAAAACAAGTGATGAACGCCGGCTGTGACTATTATTAATTATTTGACTTTTTATGACACTGTATAAGATTGTGGGATAATTTTAACCCCTGTTTTACATGTTAGTAACTTACATCTAATCTTAATTTATTACGGAAATAAAGAATACAAGACATTAAATTTGTCAAAGCAAACATACTGATTCGCACTTTTATCTCAACGACTTTTACCAAATTTTATCTCCGAGTGCGGAAGGATGCATGTTACTAAAAAGTCAAAGAATTGATTGATGCATTTTCAAATCGCCATTCGTACTACGGTTGCATCAATAGCCAAGCACACCAGTTCAGAAGCACACTTATATGACGATAACGGATGTTTGCTCACACCTGTTGCACAGTCGCAGCATAACTCACATATAGGTGGAACAAAGCTTGCGGCAGACGAATAAAAAGTCTGAGTTCCGCCCCAAAGTTTTTGTGTTCTACAATTCCGTTCCATTTTGCCTAATACACACATACGCGCAAACATCATCCAGGAAGTAGCCATCGACAAAGAAAACATTGGAATAATAGAAGACTACGAATAACTTCCCAACTGGAAACTGCATCACAACTTCTCTCGGAGAATCATGTTATTATAATTGATCAGACATGAGTTTCAGCCTATACGAATTTAGTTCATGCTTATCCGCTCAACTTATTGTGATTTTGATGATATCTTTGATCAAATATAATATCCTTTGTGCTAGAACAAGGTTTGACTTTTAGACTAATGGAGTCGGCAGATGTCAATCATATTTTGACAAAAGTCGGATTCATATTTGTTTAGCAAATTGTTTGAGATTCACATCCGCTAACTTCTTTTGATTAAATTAAATTCATATTTTTAGAGGTCGCTCTGCCCTTAAAAAACATAATGCCCTTTTTCACACAATCTTTTCACAATTCTAATGCACAAATTATTTCTCTAAATACCGTTTTTCAAAACTACTATCACACCTACCGTAACTGCAAACGAAATGATTAGACTAGCAGCGGCCACCGGTGCTAACGTTACGCTTATTTTATACCACTAAATATCTATAACCGCTGGTAAAATTACCGAAACAAAACTCTTTGTATATACTCAAAATGATTTTGTTGAACAATTCAAATCGAAATTTGCACCCATGGTTTCAACGTTTATTGAGAACTTTAGCAGTGACACCATTGAGGGAGTCCTCGATTAGGCTACCGTCATTTTACAGAAACTAGAAATTTGTTTGGTATTTATGCGGTGACGTTCCCATCGCACTAATTTTTCTGATTCCAGGTTGTAAAGTGATTTTTTATGCATTGTCATTTTGAATGTAATGATATGGGATACAGACATTGCTGTTATAGGCTTCAGTCTTAATTGGTCCGTCAACGAAAAGTCCAACAACGATTTTGAGTACTTGTCCTCACCCGATAACGCGAACTTAAATGTTTGGCCTATCCAACTATGCTCCTTGTGCGTATGAGTGATTGGGCACTGTTTATCTGAGATTTCATCAGTCAATTCCATTTCCCACCTGATGTACGTGAAGACTTTCATTTCACATACAATGTTCACACACGTATTTTAGTCAACAACCTAATATCAATAAATGTCATTCACTAGAACAGTAAATTAAAAAAATCTGCATCTTTGCTTTGGATTGTGATTTATTGTGTTGAAATATGTAGATTTACTTTTATATATACTCATAGAAAATGTAATAATTGAGTGTATACGAGATTTTGCTTGACGTAATTTACTCATTGTTTACTAGGAAAAATTCATATAATACCAGGGGTGCATAGAGTAGCGAACATTAGTAAGTTGACAAACCCGACAACATTGTTTGCGTTGCGTCAGACGTATACGTGGCGATTGTGTCTTCAGTCGTCATTTGAGAGTGTTAGTAAGCCATTTTGTTATAGATACTACAAGGTGATGCTGCACTGCACACAAGTTCATGCACGATATTCGGGATATGTATTCGATATGCTAGAATTACTATCTGACAATTGCAATAAGCATTGCTAACATACAGAAGATGATCCCAAATTAGAAGAAATGTTACGTCGTAAAAATTGATATGGAGGCATCAACACGTTCTCATGAATTGTCGCAAATTTCAGCTATTGCAGTGCATTTTCTATAGAAGTGAAGTGAGGCATCTTTTTATTTAGAACTTCATTTAACAATTTTCCTGCGATTTTAATAAACAAAAAGTAGTGACGTATATGAAAAAGATTGTAGTTCAGAATTTGGATATTTTAATCTAACTTATATATGTAATATTGATACTTGATGAAGATGTGGAAAATTTAGGAAACTAAATTAGCAACCCATGTTTCATTTGTTTCGCCAATATATTTTTTTGAGCATCTTATCAATTATTATCTACAATATGTATTTGAATAAATGGAATTTTAGCTACTGATCGAACCTAATCATTTTATACATAATTTCTCCATACTAAAGAGCTATTTTTAGTATAATAAGCAGCAAAATTATCTGAGATATGAACATCGACATTCTATAGTTTACAGGAAGTTTTTTATTTGAGTTAGACAAATGTTTTTTTATGTTGAATTTTCCACATTTTCGAAATATTACAATAAAAATTAACAACTATAGTCAGTAAAAATTTAACAAACGATTGTAAATTGGCAGCGCGGGTGAATGGCCCAGTGTACAGAACAAAATATGACGCCATTTTCCTCAGCGCAGGAGAAAGACCTCTCTTCGTATGTATTCATTCACGTAATTTTCGTGTTCAAAGATATAATTAAATTTAAAGAAGAATTGGAAAAGAAATGGTAATTTTGGTTGACTTTGGTATCGTGATATGAAAAATAAATAATTTAAAACGACAAAAGCTACACATTATATGCTTGTATAAAATTAGACATTAGATAGTATAGATACCGAATAATCTTTCCAATTATTAAGGTATTTAGTGTCACAAAATAGCACGGTTTTAATATATTGGTTTGGCTGCGCTATCATATGGTTCGTGGCATAAAAAAAAATTTCGCTTCCGATTTCAGAAATGGAGGGAAGTAATCAATAGTAAATTTTTTGCAGTATTGTAGTGAGCAATAAAAAATCCTTAGGATATCAGTTAGGGCTTTTTTATACTACTGTTGTTGTAGTAATAGATTTTAATATATTCAGAAATTCTCACCGAAATGTTCCTGGCTTTGTAAGGTAGGTTCGAATAGTGCCTCATTCTGTGCGGTAGTTAGGTAGGGTACATGTCTGGGTTTATTTAATTGGTATATTGCAAAACTATCTTATGTGGATAGATTTGAAAAGCAGTACAATTTGATAACATATTATCATGTATTATTGTACATTTATAAAATTTTGAGTTGTCTTGAAGGGTTCTGCTATCGTTAAAGAACTTATCCTATTTTCTACATAAACGAGTCTATCGCTTTTAATTTAAAAATGTAATAACTTCATCACATTCTCAATTTTTGCAAGGTCCAAATGATCAGTTACTATGCTATGATATTTATTCTACATTTCATTTAACTTACTGTGTTCTACAGTTTATGTATTTAAATATGAATTCGATATATCATAATCAACCGAGTTATTTTGGATTTCCATTTGGAATACCGAATATAATGTCATCAATGAATTATTCGCCTCCTCAATTTCCATTTCCAATATCTGTTATGCCTATGACTTTTCACGACGAAATGAGGGGAAGATATGATGTAGCGGAAAAATCGAACTCTTATCCGGGAAGGACATTGTCGAGTTCGCCTGAATATAACGCCTTTAGTCCTTGCCGCGATCCAGCATGCGATACGATGTCAAACTCAAATATGGCGGTTGAATCGAATTCTCGCAGGCTTGACGAAAAAAAGCACACTAGCAACAATAAGTCTTCATATAAAACAGGATTTAATTTTCATAAACTCGTGGATTCGATTACCGAAAGCAGCGTAGAAGGTACATGTGTGTTTACGTATTTTTATTCACTACCATATGTTTTCAACGTCCGAACAAATCGTTTTGTAAAAATAAGAATTAGGAAAGCAGCCTTTTCAACATCAAATATCAAATGCATTTTAGAATATAATTTACTGTATATTATTAAAATGTGTTATCTTAAGTGAAATTCTTTGTCTTCAAGATTTAACGATGTATATGAAAGTACATCCGCAATATAAGATAGATAGTGATATTATCAAATCTAATTTTTTATTTGTAATCACAGATAAAATATTGCCTACATCTTCAAGCAATATACCACAGATAATTTCAAATGAAAAATCAAAAGTGACATCATTTTTGGACATACCAAATTACAAAAATGATTGTGTTGACGATTCAATCAGCTCACAAAATACAGATAAAGAGAAATGCATAACATCAAATGAATATCAAAAACTAAAGTTGGAATGTTTGCAACATTCTGATCATCATCAAATACTAACTAAAAATGTCAATTCTACAATATTGCATCAAATGTATACTACTATCATGATGGAAAATCAAATTCTCGAATCCGCTGCAAACTTACATTTCAAGAGGTAACGAATTTATTGGAAACACGTTATTAGTTTATTATCCAATCATATAATTTTACCTAATAGGCTGACTGATTCGTACTTTGCAGGGCTGTTTGTAAACATAAATGTTGAAATTTTGAAAGCTAATATAGATATTTAACGGATTATCTTCTTTAAAAAATAATACAAAGGAAAATGCCAATTTTTACCCAAATATATTCTCCAAGTAGGGTACATATTCAAGATACAGCTAACTTGACTGGTACATGTCTTTTTTGCTCAATTGAGATTGTTTCTAAAACTGGTGGAACACTCTACCTTTAATTACGACTTATGCATATGTAATTTATTCCTCTAACCATCTTTTTCATACAGATCATTTCTTCCAAGTTTCGGGCCACATTCGGAATATGGGCATCAACATACCCCAGCCCAATTGACTAGATTTGCACCCTATTGGACATCACATCTTTCACCCCCTTTACTGGGTGGAAAAATTTTACCTAGCATGGTCAAAGTTAAGCGATCAGGCAGAGCCGCAAGGCCAAAGCGTCAATTTATATGCAAATATTGTGGAAGGTACGAGAAATATATTTGTATTTGTGATAGGTTCCTATTTTTCATTTTTATCAAACAATATTTTTTATTATTAACTCAGGCATTTCAGCAAGAGTTATAATCTACTTATTCATGAACGGACTCACACCGATGAACGTCCTTATATTTGTGATATTTGTAAAAAAGCCTTTCGGAGGCAAGATCATTTGAGAGATCACAAGTAAGTTCAACGATTTTGCGTTAATTTCATTTTACTAAAAAAAACATTCCAGTTTTGTTAATTTACTTTAAGATTGTGTATTTTGTGTGGATAACTCAAGAAAAGTATATGAAACCCCAAAAGACTGTTTTATGCATTTGATATATTTTATATAACATGGCACTTACATTTGATTTAAGATACATCCATTCTAAGGAAAAACCATTTAAATGTGGAGAATGTGGTAAAGGTTTTTGTCAGTCACGTACACTTGCAGTTCACAAGACTTTGCATACTCAGGTAATGCATTAGTAATATTATTTTGCTCCGCTCATGCCATGTTGAACTTGTAATTTTTAATATATATGAGGATATTTACAGAACTTCATTATTAACTTCTTCGGAATCATATGCGCTAACGATATATGAAGTTTTAATTGAGCTTATTTTAATTTGATATGTAATTCAAATATAATATTGAAAAGCACATAAATAAGAATTCAAAAAAATGGTATTTTATATATATTTACAGGATTCAATGCATAAGTGTCCAACATGCGATCGATCTTTTAATCAACGAAGCAACTTGAAAACCCACCTGCTTACTCACACCGATTTCAAACCATATACTTGTCTTTCGTGCGGGAAAGTCTTCAGGCGAAATTGTGATTTGCGAAGACATGGACTTGTTCACAAATTAGAACTGGAATCTACAAGAAACATTGAAAAAGCTCAAGCGCAACCGAACATGAGGTTCTGATAAAATGATCGACCAGTTATACACGGCGCCTAAAAGCTACACAAGATTACATTGCAATTTGCGAGTCTAACATTGCGAAGAGGAAGCTTTTGAATAAACATTTATGTTTAAAATAAATAAACTTGGAAGTTAAAAGGGTTGAAGATAAATACAATATATATAACTGATGTTGAAAATATATACAATTTCCTAATAGGTCTAGCACAGGAAAATATAAAGAATAAGGGAAATATTCGAGTGCAACGCAAATCAGAGAAAGATTCTTAAACGTACAGTTTTTGTTTGAATTTTTTTTTATGTTCTTTTTTTATAATATTTCCCTTTTTTTTCCTTTAAGGTATTTTCATATTAATACCAGTGGGACGTTTTGTACAATTAGAATTGCATCTGATTTATATTTGTAGTGGAGTACTCGTCTCTCTAAAGTTTGATTTAACCTGAGTTTGTCAGGCCTAAAATGAGATAATTCGAAACAAGGATTATGCTGTTGGGGATATTCCAGTCCTGTGGTTCTCAACTTGTTTGGAATATATATGGCCCCGGCTTGAATCATTAACATTTATTTTACTATCAACATCACCTTTTTAGGATATTTTAAACATGATATTGTAAAATGCTTTGAATATAAATAGTTTTCTAAAGTAACAGAGAATATTAATAACCCTGTTAGCTATAAATATTATTAACATTTCTAATGAAGAAATTGGAAGTGAAACACTTTTAAAATAAGTTTTGCTATAGCAGTGAAATGTATTATATTTTTAAAACATCAATATTACAAGTGTTCAGCAAGGAAAATTTTTGTTTTTCATTCAAATAAACCAAATAAATCTATTTTACTACGCTTGAGTAACCAATATCAGCCATTTTGTAGTATTAACATTTACTATTATCAGCACTTCGCGCCGCATTTGCTAGGTATACCCAGTTAGTGCTACTTATCGGAAAACAAACTGAGTACGGAAGTCCAGTATTTAGAAGTGTTTAGATTTCTTGATAACAATGCGTTAAAACAAATAGAGCACTTCCTTCCTGTATTCGTGAGGTTTTAGGAGGCAACCCTATTTTATTAGCAACATGAAGTACATTGACATTACATACTGAAAACACAGCATATATATTTCTCAAAATAGAGATCATAGCGAATAAAAAATTCCGGTTTTGTATTATATAAAGTAAAATAATTATTCCTTGGGCATTTTAACAACTAATATTCTGATATTATATGAAAAAAATTTAATAACCATGATATATAAAAAGTAAAATAATGCAAATTTTCTTATTCATTGTAGATTGATGTACTGTATATTTTATCCCCTAACATACCAAATTCATTGCCTGGCCTTGTATTTCTCTGTCTTCTATATTTATTAAAATTATTGTTTGAATATTATTATTTATTAAATGTACAAGAGATAAACTATACGTTGTACTAGATAGAATAATAAGAATATGCATAATGTACGGTGCATTCTAACCTTTTTAACGTATGATGTTTGAAGATTATACTTACATTGTACTTAAAGAATGCAGCATATTATGTATACTAATACTTCTATGGATTGAAATGATTACAATTTGATTATTCAAGAAAACGAAATATTATGATATAATATGGTGCATTTTCTATCAAGTTTATTATTTTAAACCTATTGAAATTAAATAAAAATAAGTCGGAAATTCTAATTTATCAACTACGAAATTAATAACTTTTATCAAATATCCGTTAAATAGATATTAGGATGTATTATCTCCTAATACCTCCCAAACGATCAAAAATGACAACAGCAATCTTCAAAAGACACCCGTTTGCTTTTTTGCACAAACAAACGCCAAACCAAATCCATTCACCGCCGAACCGGACAGTCCATCTGCTGCTAACCACTTGATATTTAGTTTTATTTGTTTTTAACTTAATATTCCATTATGTCACCTATCTAAACAATTCATCGTATAATTCACTTCCCAATATTCACTTATACACTGATAAGAAACTGTTTCATCTTTTGGAATATTAACTATATACACGGTATATTTTCTAATGTGGAATGACATGTTTATATTTGGATTCCAATTAAAAAGGTGATGGAGCGACGGGTCGGATATTTGTTAAAAATTACTAATCAAAAGTGCCGATTCAAACCTTATCAATAAAATTAGTTTCGTATGTCGGGATATCAAATGATTAGTGAAGAACCCGATTAGTCAGCCGGTGCGGACTCAATATTGTTCAACTTATTTGCTTGTACGTCATTGTAGGTATACGGTGCATTTTGGATTAAATATACCAAAACTTGTTGTACTTGAGCATAAAACCGACAACTGAATATTTCATGAATGTTTTCTCAAAGCAACGTCCAAGAACACACAGCCATGCCAAAGAAAATCAGTTATTTAGTATTGGTGCTATCACAAACGACCCAATAGTTGGATTTCGAGAGACAGCTAAACCAGTCAAAAAATATAGCTTCGCAGTAGATATTTCCACATAGTGAATGTTCCATCACAAAAGTCGCGGTATTATATCGAAGCCCGTTTTCTTTTCTTTTACTATATAATACAATACCATGAATGTTTAATTTTTTGTTTGTTAACACAATGAAGAATGTTAGAAGTGAGCTCTCCCGTAGTTTGGCATAACAATATCTGTTTTAACGTGATATCTAATGTGTGCAAATAAGTCCAAAAAGCAAACAAAAGTCGGAACTAATTAATTGAGATAACAGAAAGCCTTTTACCCAACTTATGAGTAGCCAAGCTACGTAAGCGAAAACCTAAAACGGTAAGTAACTACAGAATGATTTTGTGTGGGTTATCTCCTAATGACTAAGTGCGTTTCATCGTGTGCGGAGTTTAAACTTGCGGAATAAAACGCGGCAGATCATATTCTTACTTCGCGAAAAGCTAGCATCCATATATATATATATATATATATATACATATGGAACAGCTGGTAATATTGCACACTTTTTCAGTGACTCTCTACTGTAAGTTGGTTAAGGCACTGATTATATTCACGGTAATATTAAAACGAGAATATCGGTCAGAGACCGAAGACTTCTCGATCGAAAGTTAGGGGATCCCCAAAACAGCACTCTTATTCCATAGTGACACCTTGTGTCCCATCACTAATTAATTAATACGCTAATCGCTAATTAAACGACATAATTCGCCCAAAATCAATAGGCTACTGGTGCGAGATATGATGAATGCACATGCAAAATCTGCAGCAGATCCAATCTCACTTTCGTGAGATATCGCGTGCATCAAACAGACAGACAGACAGACAAACAGACAAAAACCTATCAACATACTTACCGATTAAAATCGATAAGTAACAATTGGTATTTACATTAACATTTTGCTTATCTCCAGTAGGTATTGGGTAATGCTTGGAATAATGATGGGTACAATATGGTCCCAATCACCATCTGATTGACTTTCCCTTAGCAAGCTATTAGGCAGCCATTTAGACGACGTTTTTTCTCAGGCAGCTATATAGGATATGGACCGATAACATGTGAATACTTATGTGAAAATACCGCGGGTAGTATCATTTAAATCTTCGAATATAGCAACACATACCTCAAAGTTGAGTTCGGTGAAACAGCATGGAATGAGTAGACTGTTTTATATAGAAGGAGACGTACCTCCAAATAAGCCTATACACGAGAACGCTTTTAAAATGTGCTATGCCTATAGGCTTGAAATAAAATACAATCAGCTACAGTAGACTTACCAATGGGTATAGACTGAGAAGTGACTTCCTGAATGTGATTAACAATTCAGATTCTTCACTTGCACGGCGACAATATTGAACGATGCCACTAGAAAGAAATGAAGTAATTTATTTTCCCGAACGTAATAAATAGTATAAACATGCACCGTTTTTGCGTGGTGCTTGATTTAATTGAAATGAATTTTTGATCGCGTTACATTCAGTATGAGGTTATAATCGTAAGTTAAAATTCGTGATGCACATTTTCATTCATGTTACGTACTTCCACCATAAAAACATCCCTCTATTGGTTCATGCACTCATCTTTAATTTAAGCTGCTACTCTTTTATAAATGCATGCCTGATGTAATTTATTGCGAAACAATCAAGATCTGTTTAAATGATCGGTAGCAAATTAAATATTCAAATACCATGTCATGCCAGTGTGCCGAGCGGAAATTAAATCAGCTCGGCTGAAATTTTATTTTAATTTACTGTTTTGTCAACACAAGTTTTATGAGTTCGTGTGTCAGCGTCGATACGGGAGCTGAATATCATAAATTTAATTCTAGGTTGGGCAATCGTTGAGAGAGAAGAGAATTAATCATCTATAAACAAGTCGTTTTTATGGCAAATATTATATTGTAATATTAAATAAAAAATGAAAATATTTTTGTAACATTCATCGATTATAGTAGCACACAGAATTTTGTGATTTATGAATATTTATTTTCATTTCACAGAATAAAATTCACGAATTCATACTAATGGGACAATGATTGCCAACTATTTTTGAAAGTGGGATATTTTTGACATCCCACATCAAATGTTCATTCATACTATCGTTAGATAATTGTTATTCTCAACACACTTATATTTTTACCATATTTTTGACTTAGCTTATGTTGACCTCAAATTTAAATTGTATATTTAATGTTTTTTAATACAAAATCAAATAAATAAAAAATGTTTGTTTCTTGTTTCAAATCTAAATTTCCTATTTCCTGTAGTATTTAAAACTTGACAGGAACATAAAATGCATCAATGTTCCGAAGTAAACGATGTATTTGCGAGCGAGAATTTAACAATATAAGTTTTGATGGCAATGATCACAGCAAATACCAGTAAAAATATTTCAATTGTCGTATTAAAATTATGGGTTGAATGACCTCGTGTACAATTGCTAACTAATATCAGAAATATTTTTATAAATGTTCGCAGTATATAGGTACTGGTACGATTATGGGTCTTTATTTTTCTAATATATTAAATGGGTTACAGAAAACCTAAAATATTGAGCCTATACCCTAACCTTGAGATAACTGATTTTTCACTATAAAACGATAATTCCTTTTTTGATAAAAGTCACTTAGCTTGATTAAAAAAAATTATTTTGATTCTAATGTCCATGTAAAATCATATTTACAAGTCATTTTAAAGTTTGAGTTGTATATAGAATTGAAATGATATGTATGCTGTTTTTATGAGCAAAATTTCAAATTATATCCGTAAACTTCCAAGAATAATACGCTGTTTGTGTACTTTCTTAATTGTGTCATATATTCCGATTCTAGAAAATGTTCCATTTCATACAATTGTGTTATAAATGTAAATTCATTAGAAAAAAAAATACAAATTTTCCATTTGTATTTTAATATTTTGCTTATTCGAATATTTAATAATAAATTCCTATATTTGCACATAAACGTGGTAATTAGGGAAAATGTTTTTATGTTCGACGTATATCTAGGGACCATATATTCTCAAAGTCCGATTCTGATATCCTACATTCAACCAGAACGTCTTGATGTTACGATTTTAGGTTATAAACCAGACGATGTCTACAATTTTACGAGATTGTCGTACAGGAGGGATGGAAGCAGTATTTCCTCGTAAATTTCGTAATGGTCTGCCTGTAGATCAGTAGTGATCACACACCAGATTAACTGCCGTATTTTTAGATTTATTTGCGAGACATAAAGCGGGCGTTGACCCTCAATAACGACATCAAAAGCTTCTGTTTTAAGCGATATAAAGAGCGTCCTTGAAATAACAGAATCCGTCTGCTAATGATTTTCAATAATACAAATATTTTAACATTTTACGTTTGGACATAAAACTCGCTTTTATGCGACTGCAGAGTTTACGACCAGTTTATTATCGCGGCACCTGATATATGTTTGTATATTTGTCGTAATCACCGCGATCATACCCAGTAAAATATGTTATTTATTGTTATAAATAACCAAGTTCGGCCCATACAGTGATTTCAACTTTCAATAGAGATTATTCTATTGATCATACTTGGTGAAGAACATCTATGAATGTAGGTTATTCTGGTTTTTTGTTATTTTTATTTTTACAGTCGTCATTGGTGAATTTTACCGTAGCGGCATTGGTCGATTCTTTTTCTAAAACTTTCAAAATTCCGAAGGTTTTATAAGTGGTGGCTTATTTGTCTCTTATAAGTCTCCTTCCATATGATACAGTCCTGTTTGCGTTCTTATTCTTTGTGAATATATATTTATAAAATGTCTACAACGACGTGTTTGCCTGTTTTAATTAATCTTTTTTATTGTTTAAAATGAAGTAATTCTATTCAAAACAATTTACAAAAAATTTTAATAGCCATCTTGACTCTATATGTAGGTAAAAAAAATTTGACTACTAAGTCCTCTGACTGTACAATAAAAAATTGAAAGTTTGAAATCATTTCCCAGTTTGTTTATTTTTTAATCTTTTTACCCCAATTCTTGAAATTCAAATTCAGAAATCCCGACTAGTTCTCTTAATTTGGTAGGTTTTAGATTTTTCCTGACTCCCCACTCAAAAACAAAAATCTTGTTTCGTGCAATAAAATTATAGAAGGATTGTTGTATAAGAAACAAAGTTGGTATCTATTAAAATATATATATGACATGTTGGTAACAGCCACGAGAAAGTATCAGACTACGTATGTGAAACAAATATCTTCAGAACATATACATGCAATCGAGTATATACCCCGAGTAAAATGGATTTAACTACTACCAAATGTACTTCGAATAAAAGAACTTCCTTCATTGTTTTAGTTTATCTAGTCTTGCATCCCTAAAAGATTGAACTGATATGTTGTTTTCCGCGGTCACTGACCATAATCTACTGTTTTTATTTACTTTATATTCACCTGGCAAATTATTACGCCTACTGATTTCCGCAAGTAAATTTACTCTGCTACATTATCTTCAGGAAGGAAGTTTGTTCAACACTCAAGATATCATTTACTACAGAAATTGAATTTGATAAAAAATATCAAATAAATGCTACACTAATTCATGGTAAATTTGAATTAAAATCCTTCTTGTGATTTACTATCAATCAACAACTGCTGTTAGCCCAAATTAATTTTGAACTTTCGGTAACCTTTGCATTTGCTGTCTATTTGTTTTGTCATACTAATTCAAAATATATCAAATAAGGTCAAATTGTTGGCATTCTTCAGATAATATAGGAAGTAGCGACTGACGTTGAAATTGATAAAGACTGGTAAATGAAGCGGAAGAGTTATTGGAGACGAAATATACTTTGAATCGTTTTGTTATTATATTGTTGTGCTTGTTAGTATTTTTCTTCTTTCGACTTCTCATTAACTAGTGGGTCAATTGCTTTGAAATTTTCCGTGGTTAAGGATTGAATTCTTTGCTAGAAGGCGATTTATTTCAAAATTCGATTCGTTTTTATGTGCGATGACGTCATCATAAATCGAGCACCTTGTGGAGGTTCCGCTTTCGCATTAGACTGCCGTACTTGTAGTCTACTGTGTGACAGATTACATAAATGTACTACCTCGTTTTGGCCTTCATATCCATATATTTGAGCACCGCTCTCTTTTTTTGTTTGTTTTCAAATTCTTAACCATTTAGTACACGCACTACTCCTATGCTGGAACGAAAATCGGTTGTAGCAATTGTCACATCAAAATAACTAACGTCGTATCGTTAGCGCCTGAGGCTATAACGCGATGTAAGCTTGTGTCCTATATATTAATTCAGACACGATATGAATTGATTTTAAATCTAGCTTAGGTTAGCTTTCAGTATAAATAGGTTATATTGCAGAAAATAACAATAGTAATATCAGTTCCATGCGTCGCTAGCTACGAAAAAAAGTAATAATTAGTTGTTCGTAACATCGTTATTCTAAGTATTCTTCAATTTTAAGAACGGTTATATTTTATAGGCAGCAGATGAATTTGAAATCTTTAGATCAGAACCGACGGTCCCAAAAGCCTAACCAATTTGAAGATCGTGAAATGCGTCATCTGGTATCGCGGATTTCAACGTGCTGCGTTAAATCTTATTTAATTTTGAATGTTCACCACTTACACCGCAAATGTACGTTGGTGCAAATGTCCATGGGTGCAAAATTACATGGATTCATTGGGTGCAATCTATATGCGGGTGCTTAAATCCATGGGTGGAAATGTATGGGTGCAAATGTACGTGAGTGCAATGTCGGCAAAAAAGTAAGCAGGTGCAAATATTCCGGGTGCTGTCACCGTTCTGGACTTGCTGCATGGATCAATATAAATAGCAACAAAACTAATTTATCAAAATTTTTAATATTCTGTATTGGAAAACAGAACGTAGACATTGACATTATATATATATATTTATAACATTTTAATGAGAAGTCGTTTGCAACTGCTCTTGGCCTTATTGGCAAATTTTGTCCTTGCTGCTTACTTTACTACTCGCCGTCACCAACTAGCGAATCAATTTGCTTCAATAACAAGAGATGTTGAGGTCTTGGAACGTTCGAACAGACAACTTGAAGGAGAACTAAGATTTGCAGCAGAAACAGAATCTGAAGTTTTAGAAAGCTTGAAAGATAATTATGCAAGATTAAAAGATCTAACAGAATATACTAAAAGCAATACATTGCGAATCAAAGGTATCGAGGAAAAAGATGGCGAAAACCTGGAAGAAAAAGTGAGTCACAACAGATTTTTTGAATGTGTAATTATGATTTACTTGGCTATTTCAATGCAGTACTTTTGTCGTAGGCAATAATGTTATATTTTGCTTAGATGACTGTGTATGTAGTCTTCTAGAATGGGTGATAATTACAATAAATTTATATTTTTAGATCACTGAATTGGCAGAATACATGGGAATCAAGCTCTTACCAAATGATATTAATCGAGTCAATCGGGTTAGACTTAAAACTGCAAAAAATACATCAGCTCCACGTGTGATCGCTCTCGAATTATCAAACAACAAGGTAGAAGTATTTATTGGGTTGTGTGCTATGCTATAAGTAGGTAGGATCACGTTAGAATCATATATGTTTGTCTCTATCCACTACTTTCAAATTAACTCCAATATAAAATGATGAAAATGTTTTTTTCTGGTGTGTGCAATATACCGAAAAATTATAAATATTCGAAACGGTTTAACAGGCAAAACCCGGAAGATTAGTCTTTTCTGAACACCCTCGGTTTCTCAATGTATGGATTCATCTTTGGCATCTTCCACTAACTTGCAACACGCTCTTCTGTATATATAAATGACGTTTTGTCAAAATTTTGCACCGAACTTAATATCCACACTAAGGTCTCACACTTACGTTGTTTTGAATAATCGGGGTTTTGTTTATCTGCACTAACCAGCTGAAAACTCGATTACTGCGCCAATCAATAACATCACTAAACAACTCACCATACTCCATGCAAGATGACGTAACAAATCACATGATGCCTGACGCTTTCAAGCCGGTAGAAAACACAAGATTCACGAAAGGTAAAGGGCAAATTTGGTGTTAACATTGTGTAGTATTACATGTTCATGATGCACTAAAACTAATCGGAGATTCATTTTGATTCATTCACAATAATCCCCTGGTGCATTTACTGGGTAAACTTACAATTGCATAGCTTGCAAACTTTCGAAGAGACGGTACAGATGTTTGTATTGGGTTTATACTATGAATTTTATATTCCTAGATCTTTATTCTAGCTAGACGAAATAAAACACTTACTATAAAATACTATAAAAATTATTAACCTAAGAGAATTTGAAAAACAATTTTGGCGTCTGCTTGAATAATTTGATTAAAAACCGTTTGATTCAATTTGTTTTCGCAGATTAATCATTTTTTTGTCATTTTTAATAGGCTGTGAATTCATAAGTTCTGTCAAAGAGCCAGTTACAAGGGGACAGGCGAAAAAAATGTTCGGAGCATTTCTGCAAGACCCAATTCCGTCTCCTGATGGAATTCGGGACACTTACGTATGGTTATTACCACATTTTTATGAGAACAACGTTGTGGAAGAATATGCAAATGTACATGAAATGTCATTTAAGAGATCACGAACTACATATAAAGTACCCTACGAATGGGCAGGTATTGGGTTGTTTTTTTCAAGTGTGTGACACAATTTTTAGTCAAAGAAAAGTTGTCGGACTGTTTAATGGCTTGTTTTTAAATTGAATCGTGTACATGTTGGGCTTAAAAAATCGTTTTATCCTACCATTTTGCCAATAGAATTGAATTTTACTCCATCAAAAAACAGTGATGATAGTTAATTAATTTGGCAAGTAATTAGCCAGCCTTTTTCACCGCCGAACACTATGGAACACCAAAACCAACAATTGCGCCTGTTTTGTTCTGACTTATCTCACATGCTAACGGCTTGGTATTTTGATATTAAACTCGAATAAAATAGGTATATTATATATATATCATCGTTGACTGATCATTACATATAGACTTAATTGGATTTATCTGCGCTTGTGGGATTTATTCGATTAAGATGATTTTTTTCTACCTTGTAATATTGAAGATAAATTAATGCTGTTTTGTTCCTGCTATGCACAAGCATTCAATGTATATTCAATAGGGGATACTATTTCTTCATTCAACATCTTCAAGCATTGTTTGAAATTTGCAGGGACCGGTCACGTAGTTTACAATGGATCGCTATATTTCGTCGTTTTCAATTCAACTAAAATGGTAAGATATGAATTTGCTACAAGATCAGTTCTACGTGAACGAAAATTACCCGGAGCAGTTTCTGGAAATGTGGCACCATATCAGGTATACACGCTGAAATATTTTGCTTTTAGTTAAGCACACGCACTGATTAATTTTACGCCTGCCATAGAAGGCAATATACCGAGTATCTTAGGAATACCACAGGTGAATGTAGCAAATATCTTTAATCAAAAACGTACCAGCAAACCATCTACTGAAAGTGAAATGTGTATTGATACAGCAGAACAAGCAATCACAGATGCTGTAGAATTATAGGTTTTTTCTGCCAGAAAAGGTATCGGGGGTTTGAAAGAATTCAATTCAACATTTTCAGTTGAATAGATATTGGACGAGCTTACGTGTGGATAGATATGAAAGCATTAAATAATCACCGATATTCATATAAGAGTCAAGTGCAGAAATACGTACAACTGCCAGCTTTATTATCAAAATTCATCATTTTCAGTGGTCTGGATCGACCGACATCGATTTCTCGACCGATGAATCCGGAATATGGGTAATATATGCAACGAATGACAACACCCTCGATATTGTGCTCAGTAAAATTCACCAAGAAACTCTGGAGGTAAGCGGGTGCTACACCGAGCTATAAAATAAATTGCTTACAACCTTTTTTAGAGATTCTCAGGTGAGGGACACGCATGTAACTTGTCATATAAGCTACATTTATATATGAGCCGAAAATTTTTCTGTCGCATGGGGGCGCCGCTGATACAGTTTTACTAGTCGTAAAACGTCATCGTTAAACGTGATTCCAGCGTTAAGTGAGGCCGGTTGTACAACGAATTGCGCTGTAACAAAAATTTTGTGGCTTATGTAAATGTGGTTGTTGTTGCTTTTTCAAGCGAAAATAAAGAGTCATCTCTCTGAAATATATTCCTTATCACGCAAATCGGTAATTTATTTCGCTATGCATGAATTATCTCCTTCGTGCGTTCAATAATCCATAGACCTGAAAGAACTTTCACGTCTGACTGGAAATTTATCACTTGTCATGGTTTTGAGTTGTATACAGCATATTCGCGGTCTAAGCGCTGCCTCATCTATATTGACAAATTAAACATCTCACAAATAAAAATAACTTGTAATCAGTTGACCGACGACCTAATTATTTTTATTTATTGTGGTATGTTGATTATCTTACACGACAATAAGTCTGGCACACTTTGTTACCATATTAAGTGAGTTATCTGCTATAATACAAGCACATTTTCAAATGTTTGCTCTATTGTATGCATTTTATACTACACTATAAGTAAATTGCAATAGTGCATTGGATCTTCACTTAGAAGACAACATTGGTTTGTTTTTTTCTTCAATTTTTTAATCCTCTTGCCAGGTAGTATTTTTTTTATTACAAATCATTGAAATCTTTACCGAAACCTGATAAGATAGCTTTGATGTCTGAGTGATTCAGTAATTACAGCGTAACTTTATCCAACATTGAAGTGATTACCATAGAATCTGAGACACGCAAACAGATTTCTACGATACTATGTTTTAAATTAGTTTGTCACGTTCATATTTATAATTATAAACAAGAGATCGTCAAAAATGAGAAAATCCCTATTAAAAGTACAGTGCTTTGTTAATTTGTAAATTGCGAAAAGTATTTTTTTGAAAATATATTTCAATAACAATATCACCAACATAGAATTTTCTAGGTGCTTCATTTGTTTGACATTTCACGATTCATTACTAATTGAAGACTACCTTCGTGCCAAAATTTAACATAAAATTTCGAAAGATTCGAATGATGATAATCAATAAATCGTTAATATTTTTTGTGAATTAACCAATGAGTTTATTTGCCAAATTTCTGTCCGTGATAGATTTAATAAATTTTCATACCACAACTAAACTTTGGTATGTTTTTCAGTCCTCACAATAAATTTATTTTTATTTTTTTATCTTGACACAGTTGTGTTCTCAATTGAATGTAACTATGACAACTTGATGAACATAAATCAATAATTAAAATTTTAATTCTTTGTGTGATAGTTAATTATTGAAAATAAACCACCGATCTAAAAGTTGATAGCTTTTTTATTAAAGAGTCTTTTCGCGCTCGACAAGGTCACTGAAAAGCAGCGGAAAAGACTAAAAAATACCTTGTCCATTCTGGCTAGCTGCACAGTATTTCGAAGCATCTAACCGAGGGGATACAAAAATGTTTAATATTTTTATGGAAATAACTCAACATAAATTGTTATAACAGTCCCCATCCTCTCAGGAATTATTATTATCTCATAAACGCATCTTCTTGTTTTTGTGAGTAGTTTCGACTGATTTCTAATTCACAGGTTCTCAAGACCTGGAAGACAAACTGGCGGAAACGATGGTCTGGCAACGCTTTTATGGTGTGTGGAGTATTATACGTTCTCAGAAAATACGACGAACACCACACCTCACTCAGCTACGTTTACGACACACGGACGAAACGATATAACCGCACAGATGTAAGTGTTTAAAGTTTTTATTTGTCGAAGGTTGTTTTTTATTCAATATTAGTCATTCATAGAAAACGGGGAAACGTGGGAGGCCATTGATCAACAATTTTAAATATACATGTGAATATTTTCCGAATGAAATATTGCGCGACGACCCTAATGCTAAGAGTCTTGAGCGGATTTGTGGCTCAAAAATCACAATTTTTTATACTCACGTCTTTTTATAAGGGACACCCTTTTTTATTCAAATTTTCGAAGTATCGAAAACGAAATCTTCTTGCCAATGTTTTTTAAAAAAAGGGAACTAGGAGATATACATGAATCATTTTCAAAACTTCAAATCTACGTGAATTTTTGCGAAAGAGAAAAAAGATACACACTTACAGTATTTTTTTCAATTACAGATTGCATTTTCCAACAAATATGAGTGGAATACAATGCTGGAGTATAATTTCAGAACGGAGCAAATTTATGCCTGGGATAGAGGTTATCTCGTCACATACAACATTACTTTAGCAGCACAACTATCATAAATTATTTGATATCGTTTATCGTTTCAGGAGCCGTCATTAATTTTATGTTTTGATAGTATAGCAAAAACATATCATGACGTCATATTCCATCGAACAATGATCTATTATTGATTAAAAATGCTAGCTTTGTTTTTTATTATTTGAAGACAGACTGAATTAACCTACTTGATTCCAATCCAACTTATAATTCCACGTTGGTTTTCAATATTTGATTGATCTGACTTATTTTATAACTGTATTTATTTTATAATTGATTATTTATTAAAGTTAAAAAAATGAATTTCTTTTATTGTATTTGTATTTCCGGTGAGAAGTAAATCGAACATTATTCATATATATATACAGATATTATATCCATGGATTATTAAGAGTGAATTTCAAAAGTAACCTTTGCAATAGATTGATATAACTCACGTTTTTGACTCGAAAGACATGTGTGCATAAAGTTAATTTATTGACATGTTTGCGGCTTTATATTTTATTTAAAGGTGAGATTTAAAAGGCATTGAATTTCTAATCAGAAATAGATACATAAATCGTCATTTTTTGATTGTTGTTGAATCCTGCGTTTAGTAAAGTTTTAGACTAGACTATTTGTAATTGGTTTGAGTAAGTGACAAATAAGTTGAAGGTATACAGAATCAGAAACAGAATTGACGGAATTGAAAACACTGAAACTGTCTGGAAATTCTGAACTAATCAAAAACTCCATAAATGTGTGGTTTTCTAGTACTCCCGTAGCGTGTTTACCAGGTTGGGGTTAGGCCATAATTTTATTCCGATTTTTTTTATTTTAGTTCTACTGTCTGTGTTAGCCAAGTGAATATACCCACTACCCATAGGTTTCCGTCGCTTTACACAACTTGATGTAAAGTAGGCGAACAAAATTAGTTACCTTCATATTGGAACCGTCGGTTTTCGCGGGCATTTGTATTCTCAAACTTGATTAAAATACTTCTACACTCCTGACCTACAATTAAGACAAAAGTTAATTTACAGGAAGTTACAATACCTGACCATAAAGCGCACTTAAATCCCACTTGTCCTTCGAAATCGATCGTGCGGCTTATAAGCATGTGCGCCTAATGTATGGATTAGGTAGTGCAAAAACGTTGCGTGTCATAGTCCAGTGCGCCTTATACATCGGGATGGACAGAATCCTGATCTTAGCAATTCATTGATGGTGCACCTGGTGGTTGGTAAAACACGGTACAAATATTTAAAAAGGGGTATGGCAAATTGGCTTGGAGTTCAAGTTCGGATTTATGCGTATGAGGAGCCACACAAAGTTTCATGACAAACACGTTTCAGGTTGTTTTAAAAATGTTATCAATTCATGTGTATAAAGAAGCGATTTGGTGTTGTAAAATTTAACTTCATGCTAATTTTAATTTAACAAAAACAGCATATGTCAGGTATTATATTTTCGATGTTGTCTTTTAAATTTTTTCACCAGTATAGTTCTCTTGTAACATTTGCTTGCATGGTTTTCCGTGGATATATTTGATATCAGTATGTAGAATTGTTAATATCATGAATCAAAACGCAACGATGACAAACATATAGTTTCACAATAGAATGTTACTTTGAATAGTCAATTCACGAAAATTAACTGTAAACAAAAACGTACAATTTTCCATACGGTATACAGAGTACGGAAGTATACGTGCATTACATATGAATTGTGCGTAAAATTTACCCCTATTTTGTAAAGTGTCGGTATTTTTATTGCTTTCGTTATAGTTCTTTTGGTTCACCCGAAAATGAATTTAAATTGAGCGGATAATAAATATAATTGCGTAAAATCGGATAATACTCTCTGAAAATTGAAGACAAAATTTAGAAATTTTCAAAAATATCAATAAACGGTAGAAATACATTTTTAGTGTTCAGATGTTTTGAGTTCAGGTGCAGGTAACTCAGTTGATAAACAACAACAAACGATTATAAATAATATCCCGGCATCAAGGGAAAAAAAATTGTGGCGTATTAGATATTTTTCTATTTAGATAACTATAAGATCCACGTTATTATTGATTTTCTTTGGTATGTGGTCTGGGTTGAGCCTACAGAAATATAATTTTACTTCTATCAACGCAGTGCAGGGTAATGTCGGGCAATAAAAATTTGCCTGAGTAGCTAGAACAGGATATTTAGCATTACAAATTGGTATATCCAATCTAGATGAAGATCACACAGGAAATGATTATAATAACTTCCTTCCATTTAGTTTCACTTTCTTGTAAAACAATTTCGTTTCAGCCTGCATGTTATAATAGCGTTATAGAAATCCAAAGGTTCCAGTACAATGGTGGTAGATATACCTTAGGTTACTTCTCCAGTGATGTTACTAAATTTTTATTTAGTTTTAGTGTTAGGAACTTTGCTTCGAGATAAATATGATTTAATTGTAATTTTATTGCTAAAATATAAAAAGTTTTCTTATTCCGGGTATCTAAATGATATATGGGTACAAAAAACAGAACTTTATTCGAAAATTATCATTTAATATTTTGCTCAATCTGTCAGAATTCTGGCAATTCACATCCCTAATTATAAGTGCCAAGTTATACGACTACCCTGATTTATTCTTGGTACAATCTCTTAGATGTAGGCTACGTTTTTGAAGAGTGATTAAATATACTTATCCCCGTAGATAGTCTATGGCGTTACGCTAATACTTCGTGATAATTCTGTCTTACTTCACCGTGCGTATAGACAATGCGTCAACAAGCGTATAGTACTGATCTTTGAACATTTGAATGTAAGACTTTATTGGCGCGTTTGCCCGACTTGGTGTATAGCAGAACATATTTTGATGATTTGATTTCATATTTCTATGAATGCAAAAATAAAATAAAATATTAAAGAATGATTCATCTATATAGCTGAGCTATTTTACATATTTCATGTTGTGGGGAGACAAGTATCATTTAATTAAAATAGCACATCTCCATCATTGGCAAGATTGCCAGAAGGAAAAGTTAAGATGGTTCGCGTCTCCTGGTTCAAAATTTAAGGTGAAATTATGAAACAAATATTGAATTACATTGAGTGTTTACACAGCTTTGCCAGGTACTAGGCAATAATATACTGATACTAACGGAGAAACTATTCTTAATATTATCGGAAATTTTTCCTACTAACATTGCCTTTACTTTTATTGCATTATAGGACCAAGGTGGTGGATGCAGTGTTTTAAAATGTTTCCGATTCACCATTTATGAGAGCGATGCCAAAAATGGTTAACGCTATTAGGTATTTGAAGTGCGCCAATACTTTTTGACTACATCGTTTATCAAATTTGCACTATCATGATAGGTTCGGAAGTTTGTACGACGATAAGACGTATGCCACAAAAATAAATTTAAACAAACTCGTAACCATGGGATACTATAGTACAGTTTACTATGAAATTGTAGTTTATGGTCTATATAAGTCTTTTTAGTATTCAATAACAAAATTGTGGAAACTGTTGGATGCGAAGCGCAGACCGCTGCGTCTTTTATTAATAATAACTCATCAAGTATGAACATGACGTGAAGGCGGAACTTGACAAGCATGGTTCACAAATAGGACAGAATAATTCATTCTGATTTAATATATGTTGCAGTAAATTTGTATTTAATCATGCGGTAATAAAAAATGTGTGAAAATCACTAAAATTTACGAGTAGTTGAATCTATTCTTTGGCGATCACAAATATTTGGATGAAAATCTTTCAGTAAACAACGAAAAAAAATTTATGTTTGATCAATGAATGTTACTGAAGTTGAGAGTAAAAATTACGATAAATGTACAAATGCACCAAATATAAAATTAAAAATGAGTGTAGCACTCGTTCATGACTGATTCAATGAATTTTATTTTAATTGTATAATGTATTGTGAATTTGGCAATAATTTATTGCATAGTGTCATTGGCTCATTGCAATTAATAGTTTGAGTGTTTTTCAGTTGATAAAATTTTTATTTTTAAATCGGCTTTTACGCAACTGTATTTATGAGAAATTAAAATTATATTATTTGTACGTCATATCGACATAGGTAAATTGTTCACAATATATGAATGTAATATTCGGTGTAAATGAAAAATGCACGCACGTTATATACGTATGGTATAATCATAGTCAAACGTGATGACTTGAAAGAGTAAATGCTGAAACGTGGAATAGGATTCTAATAATGTCGTGCTTACGTTTAGCTAGACTTTCTGGGTTGGTTAGCTTTTATTTTGAATTTGTCCTCGATTATACCTTCCTACCAGATATCCACACTCGCTGTCTCAGGTACTAACATTATTGATAGATTTGAGTTATTTCATCTTTTAAACTTACTTCATTGAGATTATTAAACTAACCTATAAAAATATTTTTTGCAAACAGCTTTTAAATAAAAAATTTGCTAGTTTTGTGATAATAATACAAGGAGTTGAAAATGTTTCCGGAAAATGACAAGATTGAAATAGGTAAAGAAATTTCTGCAAGACACGGTGGCCCTCAAGAAGTTCCATTAGAAGATATATTCGGAAATCCCTACAATTCTACGCGACGTACATCAACGCTAGACGAAGCAAAGGATACTCTCAATCAAATTTTTGGTTTTCCAGAAATTGGGGCATTTACAAATAAATTCAAGAAACACGCCAGAAGAGGTGAGACGAACATTATTTTGTTGTTATTTTTTAATATAATATATATTAAGTTTTGAGACAGAAGCCAGGACATCACGTAAAATGTATTATTAAAATTTCGCGGGGACAAAAATAATTCTTGAAAAAAATTAAAATTGATTAGGTAATCTTATAAAATGTATAAAGTTGGTTTTATTATTTAGTCATGATATGAATACTTGTATCAGTAAGTTATTAAGAATGAAAACTATAAGATAATAACATTCATAAAAGTTTTCATATTGTACCAGGTATGGACTCATGTTACCAGGCACATTCAAGCATACCCAAAAGTTCTGTAATAAAATTTTGATCTTATTAACTTCCAGTGCGTGAGTCAGGAATGTGCATGCTTTCTAATATACTTTAATGGTGATGGACGTTTTGAACTAATGCGAGTTTTGGCATGCGCAAATATCTTTGTGTAGAATGCTGAATATTTGATATTAAGGCCTTGTCAGCCTGTCTTTCATCAGTTTTGAATGAAATTAGGAATGCGCATTTGGCTATCAAAATGTAGGATATGTGCATTATTGGACAAAGCTGTTGAGGATAGGCAGGGTATTTTTCTTAATGAAATTCAGAAGAGCTTATCGGTCAGTAGAAACAATCTTCGACAAATCCGAACTTCCAGATCTGCCAAGCAACTTCTGCAATCACTAAAAATCTATGGCAAGATTTACGAAAATATTCAATGGTCTTAAGCTTAAGCATGCGGCACGAGGTTTTCATGGTTAGTTGCATACAACTTTCCTGAAAACTACGAACATGTATGATTGAGGCTACAAAATAAATAAATAGTAGTAATATAAAGTCTCATTACAGAAAAACAAAAAATTTTAGGGAGAATATTCAAAGAAATGCTATTTCAAATGATGTTAAGTCTTTTCGTTGGTTCAATATAGGGATATTTACATGA